CATTGCGGTCTGCCCCACAGGTGACGATGTGGTCGCTCTTGGGTGCCCGGTCAATGCCTGTGATGTGTCCGTTGTGTTCCTTGAGCTCATGAGCTTTCACCCACTGGCTCCCATTCTTCTTGTAGATGTGGACTTCATGATTATTGGGGCTCAGGGAAATCTGGGTGCGATCCCGATTCCAGGCATGGCAGGTGATAGGCTCGAGCAAAAACATGCAGGGACATTCTTCTTAGTGTTCTCAGAGGATAAAAAGTTGGGATCGGGGGCTGTCTGTCCAGGCGGGCGTGGAGCGGACAATTTGCGGACTCTGGTCAGTCGACGCGAACAGACTCCGGCGGGCGCGGGAGGGAGCGGCCGGCGTTGGTATTTTTTAAAAGAAAAACCAAGAGAGTGTATAAAACACAGCGTATATGAATGAAACATAATGTAAAGGAATTGTTACGTGAAAACACACAAAGGCCCAATAGTAAATTCCTCTTGGGATTTAGTACATTGAATATTTTTTTTCCTTAATAAACTTGGTTAATTTTCTTTTGTGAAATACAATAAAACAGTTTAATAAGAAAATGGTAACTTTAAATATCATTTATCCAAAAATTGCTCCCATTTTATATTTGTACAGTTCATGTAAATGCCTGCTTTGACAGCCTTTCTTTTAGGTAGGTACAGGTTAATATGACTAGTTTTGGGCTTTGAAATGTGAGCGGGAATTAGATATTCAGGGAAAATCCCTTTTCTGATTTTTCTGCCCTTCTTTAACCAGGGAAACCTGAGGTGCCAAATGGCAGAATGATAAAATAGTAAACTTACTCAGCCATGTGAGTGAAAATGAATATTCTATTAAGTCACGAGATTTGGGGGGGTAATAATTTGGTTTCTATGTTGTTAGGTGCCTTCATGATGACTCTGTGATAGGAGTTTTAGCCTATCCTGTGCTATTCTCACAATTGATGCCGTGGTCCAGCCTACTGTTTGAATCACTGTTGTCAATCCAGCTCATTGAGAATCTTCATCTTTTTTGCTGACTCTGTCTTACCCAGCATGTTGTCTTTTTCTCAAAAACTGGCCCTTTATGACTACATACCAAAGTAAAAGAGGCAAAGTTTACCATCCTTAGCCTCTAAGGAGTGCTGTAGTTACACTTCTTCCAAGAAGGATGTGTTTGTTCTCTTGGCAGTCCATGGCATCTTCACCTCTCACCACAATTTAAAAGCATTGATTATTCTTTGGTCTAGATCTTTGGAAAAAGGTGGATCATGCTTGGAACAGTGGAGGGTCTGTAAAAGTGAGGAATACCTCACAGCAAAACGAATTAACGCAGTGACCAGCATTGGACTTAAAAAATGTGTCAGATGATGAGGATGGCACAGTGTAACAGGACAGGGTTCAGGTCAGCTGTTCGTCCAGTTGCTACCTAAGAACATTTTAGTCTTTAAATTGACATCTTCCTCTAGTACTTTGGAGAGAGGTCCTTGAACAACAGATTTTCTCCAGTATAACACATCTTTTAATATATTGACTGCTTTTTCTTTATGTATTGATTGTGGATCCAAGTAAAACGAAGAAGTCCTTGACAACTTTAGTTTTTTCTCCGTCTTATTGTAGAAAGGATTTTTTGTTTTTTGATGCTGAAATTTAACCTATAATGAATACTAGTCTTAAATTTTCTTGAGTTAGAGCTTCTGGTCTTCACTTACTGCAAGCAAGGTTGTGTTATCTACATAATATAAATTCTTTGGAATGTAGAATTGTATTTTATTATTGTTGGTTTTTCTGACAAGGATTAAAACTATTTACCATTTCTTTTGTGCTCTCAACTTTGAGATGCTAAATGGAATATATCCAGTCTTAGCTGCCTTTTGAAATTTTTAGAAGAGGGGGACCTATTTTTAAAATATGTGCCAGTGTTTCTAAAGATGAATAAAATTATCCTTTCCAGCTGGTGAATAAGTACATGCATATCACATGTAGGAGAGACATTTTGATTTCATGGCATGCCTCACAATATGAATGACTCATAAAGGGGCATATTCTTAACACTATTCTCTCTAGTTTTTCCTGTAATGTGTAGATTAATCTCTATGGAAGAGGCACACCTCATTTCACAAATGCCGTTTTTGTTATTTTTGTAAAATACATTGAATGTTTCTGGCAACTTTGCATCACTTTGTGAGTGCCACATTTTGCTCAATCTCAAAAGCTTTTTCATGATGTTATGTATTTAGGTTAGTTGATAGGAATTACAGTGCTATCCCAAAGACACTGACGTTGATAGAATCCAACAAAAGCTCCAGAGAAGAAAGATGGACAATCACATATGTCATTTACAGTGTGGGAAACCAAATGGAGGGCCAGCTTGGAGACAATTTTGACTCTTTGTCAATGACTTTGAACTTTTTAAAAAAACCTTAATTATACCTAATAGTATAAACATGACTTATATGCACTGGGACACAAAACTCATGTAACTTTATTGTGGTGAACTTGAACCTGCCCTATCACCAAGATAGGCCTGTACTTTATTTTTACTTTTTTTTTTTTGTAGATTTAATCCCTGAATTTCTTTTAAAAAAAATTATTATTTTTTGTGTGTGTACTGGGAAATTGGATCTGACTGGTAACAGGAGATTACTACTCCTTCTCCAGCAGAGCATCTGGTGGATTTGAACTGCGTACCTCTGGATAATCCCTGAATTTGTAAACCACATCTCTCCTGAGCTAAGTATGGAAATTTTAAGGGGAAAATTCTGTCACGTAAAGTTTGACCATCTTGAGCACTTTATTTTAGATGCTTTAGTTTTCCTTTTGATACTCAATCTAGCTGTTCTAATGTTCTTTTGCTGATGATACATCTGGGTTTCTCTTTTGGTTGTCTGCATTTGACAAATAGCAAATTTTACTTGGTTCCTGTACTACTATTTCCGTATACCCATGTCCAATGCAGACACTACTACTGTTCTTTGTAACAAGAATGTCAGTGTTAATACTATCATCTTTAGAACATTTCTAAAATTTGAACTATTGACAGCCCCTTTCTCCTTAGTTGACACTTCATTACCATCAGGTGATGAAATCCCCACAGGAAATGGTATTTCAAGGTATTGTTCTCTTTGAATGGAGAATGGCTTTTTTTGGGGAGGGTGAATCTCTTTATTTTTCAGGTTTTTAGTCACTTTATAAGGTGTGTGTGAGTAATTGTGAGATCTGAGGGAATTTGATGGCATTTTATTGAAAATTATTGCCCTAATTTTACAATGAAACTACTTCTCTGTTTGAAGAGTTGCTTTTCTTTAACAAACCAGAAAGCTTGTTGCGTTGTGTTAATTACAATAGGTAGCAATTGCATATGTTAGCGAGCTGAGCTTTGTAGAGGTTTCCTTATAAGGCTTCTGTAGTCATTTTGGAAGCACATCTCCAGACATTTGTTTCATGGTAGCTAGCAGTTAATCCTGCAATTAATTGCTGAGAGCAAACTGCACCACTGGGGGACTGCATTAAATGGAAATAATTCTATTGGTTCATTTTAGGAATAAAGACAATATATATTAGTCTAGTTGTTTACGTGTAAAATATATTCTCACTGCCTATAAATGGCTGTTTTATACAGCTGGGCTTGATAATGCATAAGCAAGGAGAAAATGCAGTTATAGAAATGCTTTTCTTTTTATCCTTGATAGTCCTGAGTCATCTCTAGGATACTTTTTCTATACAGTGGCTTGGGACGCTTGCTTCATACAAGCCAGAAATAATTCTTTTGTCTTATATCTCATTTTGAGTTTTGAAGGAATTCCTTTTCATCAATCTCTTCTCAGTCACCTCAATATTTCCCTGTCATAGTCTTGACCGGTACCTAGATGATTTTTCCTTCACTGGGAAGGGAAGACTACAGCATTGGAGCTATTTGGTTCAGCTTAGTTTTTCAAATAGGTCATTAAGTAAGTGAGCTCTAGTGGTTCTTCAGCAGGAATTCGGTCTTGTTTTGTCAAGTAACACTTTACTGTATTTTAGCTTGCTTTGATGAACTTATTTTCCTTTTACACTGCTTACCATTAATACAAAAGATACAACTCTGCGTACATCTTGGCTTCCTTTTTTTCCTAACCTATAGCAGACAAATCTTAAATTTAAGTTTTCAGTTTGTTTTCAAATGATTCTTATTGGGAAATACTGTCTTTTCCTTTAGTCATTTCATGTACACAATTCAGGATAAACTCATGTAAGAGTCTTCATAGAAAAGAGTGTCTGTCACGTTGAACTCTGGTGGCATAGTTCTTAGAAGGTTTTGTGACTAATCCATAGGTTGTATGTCTCTGGCAGGTTGAATCCTCTAAAGGCTCTTTGGGAGGACATTGAGGAGTCTCAGTGAATTGAAACAGCCAGTAACATCAGTTTGAGTTTATAACCACAAAGGAACCCTAGTAGTGTAGTGGTTAAGCAGTTGACTGCTAATGGCAAGATCGGTGGTTTGAACTCACTAGCTACTTTTTGGGGAGTAAGACATGATGGTTTCTAGAAAGATGATAATCTTAGAAACACATTAAGACAGTGCTATTCTGTAAGATTGCATTTAGTTACCCACTGACTCAGCAGCAGTAGATAAAGGTTACATAAGCAATCCTTTATGTAGGACAATTAAGTAAGCCTTGGCTAACTGAAAGGTGATCATTTGAACTCACTCAGTATTTTGGGAAAGACCTAGCAGTCTTTTACAAAGATTACAATGTAGGAAACCCTATAGGGCTGTCTTAAGGTTTGTCAGTTAAGGTCACTATGAGAATCAACACCACTGTACACTACAAAAACATAGATGCTGTAGTCTTATGATTAGAATCATCTTTAACTGAGGAGGCAGTTTGCCAAAGTTTGATAATCCAGAATACCTAGATTCAATTTTTTCTTAATTGTAAATTTGATAAGCCTACATCAGTTTTTCAAGATGACTCTTGGGGCCCAGAGACTTTTTAAAAGAACATATTTTCCACTAAATAAAATGAGCTGCTAAAACTACTCAGAGCCTATACAATTCTTTTTTCCACCCTCCCAGAACCTACATAATTTTTTAAGGCAGTATCTGATGCATGTCATGTATGTCTTACCTCACCATACTTCTGTGGGGAGAAAAAAGAATTAATTTCTCTCTAATGATAAAAAGAACATTTATGAATAATCTATAGCTAACATGATACTTAATGATTAAAATTTGAAAGGTTCCATTTTTAAGAAAAATGGGAACTTATTTTAAAAACATAATTTTAATGAACATTTACAGAGATTTTGGATTTCCATTCATTCATTGCTGTACTTTTCTCCTCACCCGGGCCCCTCCCCCCCCGCCCCCAGTTCGCTCCTCTCTTTTTTAAAAGTGAAAGAAACACTCCCTCCCTGGTACACAATCCCCCCCTCTTCCCACCACCCCAAGTACATCCCACTGTACAACCTTAATTGTGGACTCTTGTGATAACCATAATACCCTATCATACATACATCACTTTTAAATTACTCCCTCATCTGTTTCAGTGCAGTATACACAATTTATCCAGTTTTTCCTCAGTCTTACCCCAACCCTGATATCAGTCCCATTTTATAGCAGTGGCACCATGCAATATTTGTCCTTTTGCGACTGAGATATTTCACTCAGCATAATGTCCTCCAGGCTCATGCATTTTGAATAATATTGTATGAGTTCCTTGTTTTTCAGTGCAGCATAGTATTCCCTTGTGTGAATATACCACAACTTCTCTATCCATGCTTTTGTTGTTGGGAACTTAACGTTGTTTCCAACTCCTTGCTATTTTGAACAGAGCTGTGATAAACATGGGTGTGCATATATCTGCTTGGATGTCAGTTAGGGTCTCTTTGGGATGTATTCCCAGTAGTGGAATTGCTGGGTCAGTGGTATCTGTATTTGCAGCTTTTTGAGAAAGCTCCATACTGCCTCCCACAGTGGTTGCACCATGTTACACTCCCACCAACAGTGAATAAGGGTTCCA